GGTTTTCTCAAAATGTGTGAAACTATTAGTAGCTCATTAAACTCATCAGAAAAGGCAAAAAGGCAGTCAGAAATTTAGAAAACAATAATACACTGAAATTTGCTCTCAATATTTCTACCCAATCAACCAACCAATTCTCAATCTTTGTGAAAGCTAAGTTTGTTTTATTTTTAAAAAACTTTTTATTTTGTATAGGAGTATAGCCGATTGACAATGTTGTGGTAGTTTTAGGTGGACAGTAAAGGGATTGAACCATACATATACATGTATCCATTCTACCCCAAGATACCTTCTCATTTAAGTTTGTTTTATATCACTGATTAGGGAACCAAAAATCTGTGTGCCTTTCACTGACTTATGTGGAGTATACATCCTCAAAGCAGGAGAATCCTTGTGTTTGCCAGGCACAAACTTATTTATCTTTCTCAATGTAGATGTCTATGTGTTGTTATTCAACTGCTGTCAATTGTAATTTACTCCTCTGTGTATAACTTAGGTTGATATCTTTAAAATTACATTTTATTGAATCATAACTGATTCAGCTGTTCAATGGTAAAGAGTGTTTTAGAAAATCAGTTCTAACATACAAGGCCAGCCTGATAAGCTACAAATCCAATTTACATGCAACTGTATTATATCATGTGGGTTCCTAGTTGGTGGCAGTTGTAAAGAACCCACTTGCTGATGCAGGAGGCCTAGGAAATGCAGATTTGATCCCTGGGTCTGGAAGATCTTCTGGAGGAGGGCATGGCAACCCACTACAGTATTCTTTCCTGGAGATTTCAAGGACAGAGGAGTCCAGTGGGCTTCAGTCTATGGGGTTGCAGATAGTTGGACACAACTGAAGTGACTTAGGACACAAGCATGCATATTATAATCTGGCCGAGATCACACAGAAATTCCCTAATTCATCCTCAATTTAGGATTTTCCTGCAGTGTATTCAAAAGAGATATATACATAGGATATGTGGGGAAAGAGCAAATTAGCCACGATGGTGTGGTCAGGCTCACTAGCCCCACGGTCTCTTGCTCTTGCCCCTTGTCTTGTAGTGTAACAGCTGAGGTCACTTAGAGCACTGCACGTGTGTGCCACGAGATACTCGCTTGGTCACGGGCTACTTTGTGCGTATGCATATACCAGCTCCACCTAAACAGTGGTGGAATTACTGCTGTGTCATGGCTATGTCCATTGGGTCAGTCACAAGAGGAGAGAATACAGTGTCTACTGCTACAGTTTCTGCATCATCCAGGAGAGAATTCTGTTACGGCTGCTCTGCCAGCCAGAGGAGAGGTTGTTGTGTTAGGTTATGCTATGGCTGTTTCCAGGACAGAATAAATGTGTCTGCAGTTCCAATGGCTCCTCAAGACTTCTTCCAGTTTCTTAGCTTGAGCCTTGCCTACCCTGGGTTCAGCAAACAGCGTGCACAGTGAGATACAAAGAGGCAATTGGCTTCACAAGCAGGATCAGCAATACAACTGGTGTAGCTGGCAGGATACCCAGCAGGTAGGGAAGCCTGAGGCTCTGCTGGAAGGAGGAAGCCACTGGCCGAACACAGTATGTGGTACCTTGTGGCTGTGATCCTCTAGGTGTGGGCTCCATTGGAAGACTGGGAGGCAGTTGACAGGTCACCGGATAATACCGAAAAGACGTTAGAAGTGGTAAGTTCCCATTTCCCAAACAAGGCAGTATGGACTGCTGCTGACACTGTGGGGTGGATCTTTCTGACTGCCCTGAAGGAGAATATGGATAGAGCTTTACATAATGCCATGCCAGGGAGAAATGGGCAGAGATGCTTGGAAGAACCAGAGCAACGTATCCTGACATACAAAGCTTCCCTGGTGGCTCAGATGGTAAAGCGTTTGCCTGCAATGCGGGAGACCTGGGTTAGATCTGGGTTGGGAAGATCCCCTGAAGAAGGAGATGGCAACCCACTCCAGTATTCTTGCCTGGAAAATCCCATGGATGGAGGAGCCTGGTAGGCTACTGTCCATGGGATCACAAAGAGTCGGACATGACTGAGCGACTTCTCTCTCTCCTTTCTCTATCCTGTCAATTAGAGCAAGAACCCCATGGGCCTGAAGAGTCCAGCATCTCTAGCAGTGAGGCGGTAAGTGACAGTGATGATGAACATTATGAGAACGTGGGTTCCTGCTTGGCAGCAAGGCCTATGGTACACTGGAAAATGAAGCAAGAACAGCCTATAGCCTGGTGGAGGGGCATCCTCCAGGGGCCCCCGGTGTGACTGAGTTCACGATGAATTGACCATATACTCAGGTGGAATTGGTTGACTTGGGTAAGCAATTTCAGCAAATGCAAGGGAAAACCTTGGCAGCTTGGCTTTGCAACTCTGGGGCACAGGGGTGGGCCTGGCACCACCTTCTGCTGGAAGGAGGAAGCCACTGGCCGAACACAGTATGTGGTACCTTGTGGCTGTGATCCTCTAGGTGTGGGCTCCATTGGAATATTGGGAGGCAGTTGACAGGTCTTTACTGAGAAAAGTAGAAGGATGGAATGCAAGACTATTTTGAAAGTGTGAAGACCCCGAAGAGGGCCTGAGTGGGCAAGGGTACTATCTGGGTTATGGGGATGCAAATGTGGGCTGATTTGTGTGGAGATATGCTCCAAAGGCTGTATCCTATGTAGAACATTTTACTGTAAATACTGTATCCTGTGATGTAGATTTAGGCTGTGTCCTGTGATGTAGGTTTAGAACAATGTACTGTAAAGGCTGTGTCCTGTGATGTTCTACTAACCTCTGATTCTCTTGCAGTTTTAGAACAATATGAAAGCATTTGGTATCTTGTGGGTAGGCTGTGAATGCCACAAAAATCCCCTCCTTGAAGGGGTTGGCCCGGTGCTTACGGGGGTTTTACAGGTCCTTAATAATAAAAACTCCTCAGGGTTGGAGCCGCCCCTGTGGAGGCTTTTCTGCAATTTGGAGGGATGGGGTTGGACTGGAGTTGGCCATGGATATAAGGTGGGTGTCTCTTCAAAGGGGAAGATGGAAACAATTTGGGGAATGGGCCACCGTTCGGGGGGGCTGAAGGGAAATGTGGACAGGACTGAAAGATTGGGTCCCGGTCCGTGGGGGCTTTACGCAGCGATGAGGGCGATGGGCTGGGCTGGAGGGAGGGAGGCTGAAGGACGGAAGAAGGCCCAGTTGCGGGGCTGGGGCTCGGACTAGGGTGGCTGAAGTAGGGAAGGGACCCAGTGGCGGCCGGCTGGGGCCTTGTAGGAGGGGCGAGAACCAGCTGAGGGTGTCTCTTTTGTCACTGTGAGGGCGGAGACTGAGGCATGAGCTCCAGGTGATCCCTAGCATTGGGTTTTTCTTTGTGTTGGGGATGTGACTGTTTGTTTAGTCTCTACTGTTGTTGCAGGATGCAGGTTCAGGTGGCGGCATTGTGCACTGGGAGGATTCTGCAGAGGGTGGAACCTGCACTGTGGGACGAGGAATCCTGAAGGGGTGGAGTGTAGGGAAAGAGCAAATTACCAAACATGGCCTGTCCAGGCTCTCTCACCCCATGGCCTCTCACTCTTGCCCCACTTTTTTTAATGTAATAGTTGAGATCACTTATAGCACTGCGTATGCACATCACAAGGTTTATGTAGCAGCTGAGCTCACTTACAGCACTGCGAATGCATGGCACGAGGTACTCGCTTGGTCATGGGCCCCTTTGGGCCTTATGCATGCATGAGCTCCACCTAAGTAATACAAGAATTATTCCTGCATCACAGCTATGTCCATTGGGTCAGCCACAGGCGGAGAGAATAAACAAACCAATTTATTATTATTGGCTGAATTTATACCTGAAACAAGTGCAGATTTCTCTGTAAGCTCAGCTGAAATACATGACCTAGTTTGGAGGCTGAAGGGGCTTTCCTTTCTCACTCAAGCCAATCCCAAATTCGACGATCTTACCTCTTTCCTGGAAGTTAGGTATGAATAAAGAGGGGAGCTAAAATTAACCATGGGTCAAAGTTGTGTGAGAGAGAGAGGGACTTTCTTCATGTGTCCATGGAAAAAGGAAGGAGGGCAAGATGTTTAGTTCTAACCCATGAGCACAGGCTCAAGGCCAAATTAATCTTACAGTCATATAGGGGAAAAAAAGGAAGAATAAACTGCCAAAAGGAGAATCATTCTAATATACATGACCTCTTCACACACAGTGATCCTTCCCACTTGTGAGTGTTATGCTATCTGAGTCAAAATGATGGTATCCATAAGTCTTGGAAATGGACAAAGCAAAAGGTGGGAGGCTTTCTCGTTCCTCCTCCTTCAACACCATATTACATATGGGATTAACTACACCATATGATATAAAGGCCATTTACATCACACTTCTCAGTATATTTTTTAGATGGATGTTAGTGAGTCTACAGTTTTTTTTTTTTTTAATCTTGTATTGAAGATGAATACTTGTGCATTCTAAACTCTATTAAGAAAGTCATAATCTTCACAAAGGGTCATGCAAGAGCATTGTAGGAGCATTAAAACAGGAAGTGAGTGATGTGGGATCAGTATTAATCCTACTCACTAACAGGAAAGGCATTTTAATTTTCTGAGAGTCAGTTTTCTGATCTATAAAAAGTAGATTATAATATATACTTCCTAGGTCTGCTCTAATGTTCAAGTAAAGTGACATTTTTAAACAGAAGCACATAAGTACATATTGAACAGTTAACACATTTTAAACTGATTCACATGAGAGGTTATCAGTTTATTTTCTTTTTGTGAGACAACTTGGTAGGCTGGAAGTCTGGGATGAGCAGTGGGACTAAAGAAAAGATGACTTGATGGCCAAATTAAATTTGCTTTGGTCTCTGGGGCTTCATAGGTGGCACTAGTGGTAAAGAACCCGCTGGGCAGTTTAGGAGACTTTGATTCCTGGGTTGGGAAGATCCCCTGGAGGAGGAAATGACAACCATGCCAGTATTCTTGTCTGGAGAATCCCACGGACAGAGGAGCCTGGTGTGCTACAGTCCACGCCATCACAAAGATTTGGACATGACTGAAGTGACTTGGCATGCACTAGGATCTTCAGGCCCCTCCTTCAGGAAGTTTCAAGCTTCAGAGAAATGCAGTAGGCTTGCATTCTTAGCAGACAAGTTCAGCATCCCACATTAAACCAGGGCTTGTGAATAAAACATTCTAGTTTCTACCCTCTTCCTGCAGTCTCTGAGAGCATATAACATTGATGAGGAATCTTGTGCAAGAAAATAATAAGAAATGGAATGATTCTGTCAGAAGACCTTTATTTACAAGTCAATCTTGGAAAAAATATATAAAGCAAGGAGGCAGCTTTCTCTGAGGAGCTCACTTATGTAAGAACATATGTAAAATGTTCAACTCAAAATCTGGCCTGAAGTGCACATGAAGATCCCCAAGCTTCATGAGACAGATGGTGTTTACTCTTTACACAGACTTTTCTATTTAATGAGATGGTTAAACTTAGCCTGCTTTTCTTGCTCAGTCTGTGTGATTTTAGGTCTTCTCTTTAACCAATGTCCTTGTGAATATCTTTAAGGAATTCTAACTAAATTCAGATTTGTACTGGTGCATAAAAAAATAAATTAAAAACAGCTCTCAATACATTAGAAACATAGAAATGGTTAACTTTTTGCATAATTTACTTATTTGAACATTAATTGGCTATCGCTTATGCACCAAAAATTGTAACTTTACAAATGCCGTCTCATTTAAAAATTGTGTCCTAAGCTAAGCCAAAGATATTGCGGGGTGTTTGTTCCTTATAAAGACTGAATATTATTTGATGATTTTGTCTACTCACTCTGCTTTATAAATACAAATAATGTTTTCCATCTATAGGTTAATATTTACTGGAGAATAGAATAAAAAATTAAGATTTGAAAAAATGATAAAATGAGAAAAAATGTGATCTGACTATACTAATAGCCAGAAAAGGGGGCAATAAAGAGAAGGATCTTTCTGGGTTGCTAAACCAGAGAGTTAACATTGTACAGTGTTTTGTACACTTACAATCTGGCTGAGATTGGGTAATAGTGTTTGCAAGAGTATGGAATTCTGATTCTATATATATTTTCCTACAGTAGCCATCCAGTATTTTTCTGTCAATCAAAAGGACTTCAGTAGGCAATAATTTATGTGACCATGACAAAATACTATTTTTTTTTAATTTTTATATTTGGAAATAACTGAGAAATATCTCTGTTCTTGAACACTGCTCATTGCTTGATCAGTTTTACTCAGGAAGTTTTTCCCCACACACTTAAAATTGCAGAATCTAGATTAATGTCATGATAAACAAATTGTTCTTCCCACAACTCTTTGAAGAGCCAATTTGAACTCTTTATTTCTCAAACTGTAAATCATAGGATTGAACAATGGAGTTAGGATTGTGTAGGATACTGATATGAGAACATCCTGGCTTGAGGAATAGTAGGATTTAAGCCTTAAGTAGATAAAGGAGGCACAGCCATAGTGGACAATGACAATAATGAGGTGAGAAGCACAGGTGGAAAAAGCTTTGTACCTGCCTAATGTGGAAGGAAATTGGAGTATGGCAGAGATGATGAGAATATAAGATACCAAAATCAACAGCAGGGGGATAACCAGGACCAATGCGCAGAGCATGATAATGACAATCTGACTAAAGTGGGTATGGTAAGATGCTACCTTCAGAACAGGAGAGATGTCACAGAAGAAGTGGTGTAGTTGGTTGGAGGAGTGAAAGGGCAGGTGAAATACCAAGGATGTGATGATCTGTGCAACAATAAAGCCACAGGCACAGGCAGCAGCCACAAGTCCTGCACACACCCCGAAACCCATGAGCACTGTGTAGCGCAGAGGGTCACAGATGGCCACGTAGCGATCATAACCCATGGCTGCCAGCAGGAAGGAGTGAGAGCAGCCTAGAAAGAGGAAGGAGAACATCTGGATGGCACAGCCCAGAAAGGAGATGGCCTTCTTCTGGGCCAACAGGTCAACCAGCATCTTGGGTACAATGACGAAGGTATAACAAGTCTCAAAACAGGAGAGTACAGCAAGGAAGAAGTACATGGGGGTACGGAGGGCTCTGTCCAGCACAATGGTGGAAACGATGATGGCATTGGTGCCCAGGGTGAACAGGTAGACCAGCAGGAAGACAGCAAAGAGCAGCGGCTGTAGCCCAGCCAGAGATGAGAAGCCGAGGAAGACAAACTCTGTCACCAAGGTCTCATTGACACACTCCATGGAAGACACATCATCAGGAGACAATCTGAGAGAGAAGACAGTGCCAAGAAAAATCCCTGAAAAATAAAAGAATCCCAAGAAACTGATGATCATAGAACATGTATTCTCAGGTTTTGAGTGTACTCATTATTCTCCTTCCTGGTTTTTGTAAGACATAAAGAAGCATCTAAAATTATTCAAAGCTTGCATCCAGCTTTGAGTTTCCCCAAAATTTTTAACATCATAGGAAAACTTTCTTGACACTTCTTTTATACAGATGTATAAAGGTTTCAGGAAACCCAGTGACAACAGTCCAAGGGACTCTCAAGAGTCTTCTCCAACACCACAGTTCAAAAGCATCAATTCTTTGGCACTCAGCTTTCTTCACAGTCCAACTTTCACATCCATACATGACCTCTGGAAAAACCATAGCCTTGACTAGACAGACCTTTGTTGGCAAAGTAATATCTCTGCTTTTTAATATGCTATCTAGTTTGGTCATAAGTTTCCTTTCAGGGAGTAAGCGTCTTTTAATTTCATGGCTGCAATCACCATCTGCATACATTTATACAAATATAATCTTAAATTTTATCCTTGCAAAACACATGTAAAATTGAGTACTGTAGGAATAAAATGAATTTTGAATTTAGATTGATATGAGCTTTAATCCTGATTCTGTCATGTTCTTGTGGTAAGATCATAAATTTTCTAAGTCCCACTTTCTCATTTGTGTGATGAGAAAAGAAATTCTTGCCTTCCAGGGTTATATAGAAAATTAATTGGAATCATGTATTACAAAAGAGGCATCCAATACATAGTGCTTAATAAATAACTCCATCTAATCACTTTTTTGTTGTTCTTCAGTAATTAGAAATATTTTCATCAAGGATAAAATGAGCATTTATTTAACTCATGGCAAGTTGTTGTAGCTGCTTTTCTGTACTTTTTCAGGGGTGCAGAGGGGATTTAAGAGAGATTGCCATTCCTCTGAGTTCTCCAAGCTTGAGTAAAAGTAACTTGGTCTTACTGGAGTCCCGTTCTGCACTGGAAGGGAGGCAAGGTGACTGATCTTGAAGTTCCAAGCAAATTCTTTGGTATTTGGTTCTCTGTAGTCTGAATCACACAGGCAGGTTATCTATACCTTGCAGAGAGCATAGGAGGTTTCCCAAAGTTCCTATTTTGGAGGGTGGGGGTATATAGGATAAATTTAGAAGACAGAATTGTATTGCATAGTCAGACTTAGTCACATATGAATAACAATTTAGAAGTTTCTCATTGTGGATACTCTATAAATCAATAATGCATACATTATGCATGTTTTAGCCTATATATTTAGAAATCAAAATCAGCTCTTTGAAAATGAAAACATGAAACTGTTAGTCTCTCAGTTGTGTCTAACTCTTCAAGACCTTATGGACTGTAGCCCACCAGGAATCTCTGTCCATGGCATTCTCCAGGCAGGAATGCTGGAGTGGGTAACCATTCCCTTCTCCAGGGGATCTTCCCAACCTAGAGACTGAACCCAGGTCTCCTGCATTGCAGACAAATTCTTTACCATCTGAGACACCAGGGAAGACCTTTATTGAGTTCTTAAAATTAGAGATGAAGCACAGGCTGGAATCAAGATTCCTAGGAGAAATATCAATAACCTCAGATATGCAGATGACACCACCCTTATGACAGCAAAGAAGAACTAAAGAGCCTCTTGATGAAAGTGAAAGAGGAGAGTGACAAAGTTGGCTTAAAACTCAACATTCAGATAACGAAGATCAAGGCATCTGGTCCCATCACTTTATGGCAAATAGATGGGGAAACAGTGGAAACAGTGACACAATTTATTTTGGGGGGCTCCAAAATCACTGCAGATGATGACTGCAGTCATGAAATTAAAAGATGCTTGCTCCTTGGAAGAAAAGTTATGACCAACCTAGACAGCTTATTAAAAAACAGAGACATTACTTTGCCAACAAAGGTCCATCTAGTCAAAGCTATGGTTTTTCTAGTAGTCACGAATGGATGTGAGAGTTGAAATATAAAGAAATCTGAGTCCTGAAAAATTGATGCTTTTGAACTGTGGTGTTAGAGAAGACGCTTGAGAGTCTCTTGGACAGCAAGGAGATCCAACCAGTCCATTCTGAAGGAAATCAGTCCTGAATATTCATTGGAAGGACTGATGTTGAAGCTGAAACTCCAATACTTTGGCCACTTGATGCGAAGTACTGACTCATTTGAAAAGACCCTGATGTGGGAAAGATTGAAGACGGGAGGAGAAGGGGATGACAGAGGATGAGATGATTGGATGGCATCACTGACTCAATGGACATGAGTTTGAGTAAACGGGAGTTGGTGATGGACAAGGAGGCCTGGTGTTCTGCAGTCCATGGGGTTGCAAAGAGTCAGACATGACTGAGTGACTGAACTGAACTGAACTGAAAGATTAGAGTAGATTACTTAATAATATCCATATTTTATGATTTTATAATTTTTACTATATTTTAAGCATTAAAGTTATAAATATGAATAAAATAATTTTTACTTTCTCATGGAAGAGATAATAAAATAGCCATATTGTAAGACATACTATCATAAATATCATCAAGGAAAAAGCAAAATATCTTGGAAATCTTGAGAAAAAACAAGCAACTTCATGGAAATCTTTGAAGAGGAAATGGCATTTGAATATTTCCTATAAATATTTTGATAAAAATATGGACTGAGTGTCAATGTCACTCTTTATGTAAACCTTGTGATGTAGCTGACTAATTTTCCTTAATGTTGATTAGCACTTCAGAATTGAACAAATACCTGTCATTTTGTTGTCAAGTGTAGAGATACATCCTTTTTACAAAGGAAATATCTAAATTTACACAGTTCTGTGAACTGAGAGACACTTCTTTCTTCTCTTTTTCTTTCTTTTCTTTCTTCACCAAAACTGTCACATTGAGGTCACAAACTCAAAAACAAAGAAAAAACCCTTTTCAGTTAACTTCTTTGGGGATCATCATCCCAAATATTAGTCCATCTGTATTGCTTTTAACATTTCCAGGAAGAAAAAATAGGATATGATTTTGGTATCAGCTTGTCAACCAAAATTTAAATCCATTATATAGAAATGTAACATGAACTATCATTTATCACATGTTTTTCCTAATGCAGAAAAGGTGAAAATACCATTATATTTGGTCTCTCATTTGGTCCTCATCATGATCTCATGAGGTAGGTATTACTTTTGACTTCTTCCCTATAACAGAGAATAATTTGAGAATCAAAGTGTTTGGAGGCTCCTTTCAAATTCACACAGCTAGTGGAACAAGCACCAGACTATGAATATTCTGACTGGCATAGGAGAAAAGTGTGTGTGTGTGTGTGTGTGTGTGTGTGCGCGCGCGCACATGCGTGTGTATTGGTGAGAAAGGAAGAAATAGTATTCTGTCACCTCCTTACATAGTATAGTATTTTAACAAAAGGATTCTTCCCTAGAGAAGGAAATGGCAACTCACTCCTGTATCCTTGCCTGGGAAATTCCATGGACAGAGAGCCTGGTGAGCTGAAGTTTATGGGGTCTCAAAGAGTTGGCCACGACTGAGCACATCTGCACATACTGTGATCTAAAGTAGTTGTTTCCTTTCTGTATTCCTACCAGAAGAGTTTGGGACTTCCAGTTCTTCCATATCCTTACTAATATGTTTAGTCTTTTTAAAGTTTTGATGTTTTTAAAAAGAAAAATAAAAAAGAAAGGAAAAAAAAGGATTCTTGTTACAGTTTTGTTACAGGCTCAAGTCCCAACCCCACTGTGTGTTAGCTATAGGACTTCAATATGTCTGAAGTATTTTCCTCTCCCTTATAATAGGGTTCATTCTGATACCAGCTAACTTAATTTTCAAGGTTTGTTCAAAATGAATAAGAGAATATCATTGCAAAGCTTAAATATTACATAAATATTAGTTCTGTAATTGTAATTTAGAGTTGAGAAGGGGACAGTTTTGAGAATATTTCTCTCATATTGCTTGGTATACTCCATTGATTTCAGGAAGGGTATATAAGATAAAGATGATTTCCATTCCTAGGACTGAGGAAGGCATATTGCATTTTTGTCCTTGTTTCTTCCTTAAGAGGATCTCCAGAAAACTGGGGTCATAAATGTTATGTATAGCTGTGACAAAGTGAAAATGTTTAATTGCTCATTCATGTCTGACTTTTTGTGACCCAATGGACTGTGGCTCTTCAGGCTCCTGTGTCCATGGAATTCTCCAGGCAAGAATACTGGAGACCTTTTCTTTCTTCACCAAAACTGTCACATTGAGGTCACAAACTCAAAAACAAAGAAAAAACCCTATTCAGTTAACTTCTTTGGGGATCATCATCCCAAATATTAGTCCATCTGTATTGCTTTTAACATTTCCAGGAAGAAAAAATAGGATATGATTTTGGTATCAGCTTGTCAACCAAAATTTAAATCCATTATATAGAAATGTAACATGAACTATCATTTATCACATGTTTTTCCTAATGCAGAAAAGGTGAAAATACCATTATATTTGGTCTCTCATTTGGTCCTCATCATGATCTCATGAGGTAGGTATTACTTTTGACTTCTTCCCTATAACAGAGAATAATTTGAGAATCAAAGTGTTTGGAGGCTCCTTTCAAATTCACACAGCTAGTGGAACAAGCACCAGACTATGAATATTCTGACTGGCATAGGAGAAAAGTGTGTGTGTGTGTGTGTGTGTGTGTGTGCGCGCGCGCACATGCGTGTGTATTGGTGAGAAAGGAAGAAATAGTATTCTGTCACCTCCTTACATAGTATAGTATTTTAACAAAAGGATTCTTCCCTAGAGAAGGAAATGGCAACTCACTCCTGTATCCTTGCCTGGGAAATTCCATGGACAGAGAGCCTGGTGAGCTGAAGTTTATGGGGTCTCAAAGAGTTGGCCACGACTGAGCACATCTGCACATACTGTGATCTAAAGTAGTTGTTTCCTTTCTGTATTCCTACCAGAAGAGTTTGGGACTTCCAGTTCTTCCATATCCTTACTAATATGTTTAGTCTTTT